GCCTCCAAAAAAGCGAAAAGTAGACAATATGGAGCTGACTTACTACCAAGTCAACTTCACAGAAGGCACTAAATGTGATCTGACAGGAGAGCACAGAAAGGCTCGATTGCACTACGTTTGTCAACCAGATGGCAAGGGAGAGGTGTATGAACTGAAGGAGACGTCTAGCTGTGAATATGAGGTGGTCGTGTTAACAGCACTACTCTGTTCTCATCCAGCTTATAAGTAAGTCACATAGCATTTCTTTTTAAGTACATAATGTCATAATGTTTTAGAAGATAATTCATTATCTTGAAAATAATAGATTTTGAAATAATAGAGCAACGGCAAAACTATTTGGTTTACCTTTGAAGTGTATGATAGAATTTAATTAATTGTCACTTTGACCAAAAATTTAAACATGAAAATAAAAGAGTGAGAACTATATCTTTATAACAATGCCTATATATATATATATATATATATATATATATATATATATATATATATATATATTTTTAATATGTAAAAATTAATTAGTAAAATCATAATTCTGTCATAAAGCATTGTTTTGTACAGTTGATGTTTTATGGAGCGGGGAAGATTGGAAATTGATCTTTACACTATGTAAGTCTTGTCAATGAAGTGACGTATGATCATCATCATCATAAAAACTGTTGTTATATTGTTTTATTTTAGAACAGCAGACCAGCCTGTGCAAGGAATACGCTGTGAGCCTTTAGATGGCTCTCCTAGAAGACCAAAAAGTCTAGATTTACTTGAACTAGAAAATACTCAGGGGAGATATAATAGAAAACAGGTAAGATCTAGCCAGATGGTTTGTGCTGAAACAGCTTTTCGATTATACCTACTGGAAAGGTGCTGTCACATTGTATGCCAGGAAGCAGTTATGAAATTCTTAGAGTTGAGCAGTATGGTTTATGGAATACTTTTTCAAGTGAAATAAATGCCATTTCTTTATACATGTAACATACCACCTTGTGCAATTTGGGTTCATCAACCTGTTTACAGCTTGACCAGGTCACTCCTTAATCACCACCTGACCAGAAGACCTTATTAGATATTACGAAACAAAAGTGTTTATATTTTAAAACCTGCTTTTGAATTGGAGAAGGATTTCATCGACTGTGTTATGTTATTAGAATGAAGTAATTTTTCTTCAGTCAACAGCTTAATATTGAAATAGTTACCTCCAATAGAGGCTGTTCACCTGAATAGCCTCATTCCCTGATGAAGATGTTCTGTTAGGCATCCAAATATTGGAGGTAACTATTTCAATATTAAACTGTTGACTGAAGAAAAATTACTTCATGCTTTTGAATTAGAAATGATATTAACATGCAAATTTATATTTAGACACAAGAGGTGCATCCAGTTATTCAGAGGCCCCAGGAAACTGTACAGCAGCCATCGTGGGATCCCAGCAAGGGTTCTCATGGCACAGATCTCAAGTCCAGCACAGACCAGCAATTGTTGAACGACTTTTTAAAAGGAGAATATTGCATCCAAGGGGTAAGATTCTCAGCTCAGGAATTTTATATTTTGTTAAAGGTTTGTTTGGGCTTAAGGGAGAGTCGCTGTTCAGTTTTTCTCTTCAAATATTTGTTGCTTGGATGTTCAGGGTAGAATTACCTAATTATAACAATACATATTGCTCTGCTCACTCTACCAAACACTGGGGCAATAGTCTACAAGATTATGGATAACATGGCAACTATAAGACTCCTGTTGCATTATTGAGCAATTATGAGATAGGTGATGCGGATAGGTGAGATAGGTGACCCATTAAAATAAAATTCAAGGACTGAAAAAGTAACAGTATTTTCCATTCTAGGCTCATCAACTCTCACAATCCTTTGTAACACGAATATTTTCCTTTATAGGGACTGGGGTGGTGGAAACATGAATTTTGCTATGGAAAACATATAATTCAGTTCCATGAAGTGAGTATGAAATATTGTTACTTGAAAAATGTCATTCTGACTATGACATTATTTTGAATGGCTGCTTATTTTCTTGTTTTTCTCAAATGCATTTAATGTTTATATTTACACAAGTTTATTTTTCAAATTATTTGTGAGTTTGTAAAGTTGAATTATTTAATTTATGATATATAGACTTTCAAGACTGATATACAGTAATATAAATATAAAGTTAAATGTGAAATTCATGGTTATAGATAAACTACTGAAACAAAATATCTCTCAGAATTTAGAGAGAGAACTAATAACTTTTTACACCTCACCCATTTCCTGTTTTTAGGAAGGTGGTTCAAAAACTGTGATAACACTTGGGGTGTGGAGTGAAGGAAGACATCTGCAGTGGCTTGGGGAGAATCCTTCTAAGAGACCAAAACCAATAAAACAAAGGAAGTATGTAAACACATATGTGGAACGTCTCTAATTGCCCTTATAAATTTCAAAAGTAAACTACATGTTATCTGCACTGATGGCCATTCTTAATACATAACCGGTTGTTAAAGATATAGTACAAAGCACATAAAACATTGAGTAACTTGATTTGCCTAATGTTTTATCTTCTTTACAGGTTTATCAGCCATTTTTATGGTGCTGGTGATTACTGTGATATATCTGGAAAGCCAAGGCATGCAGAAGTCAGAATAAAGTATGTTAATTCCAGTATCAGTATTCTTTTGTTATATTTGAAAAGACAGTTATAGTAGTAGTGATATATTACCTGGCGTGGCAAAATAAACATTTAGTACAAAGTGCACAATAATAAAAAAAGAACTTAGGCATACACAGAGCTTATAACAACAAGTGAAGTGATGATGTTTTGTTTAATTTTTCTTATCTTTATTTTTTTATCCAGATGTAAGGAAAATACTGATAGCTCGCATGCAGTATCACTGTATCTTGTTGAACCAGAATCTTGTGTCTACATTTTAGTGGTAAGTAATAATCTGGTTACTTCAAATGATAAAGATGATATCGATATGCCTAATGAATCATCATGTTATGCTTTTTGTGTGAAAAAGTGTAAATTTTGGTGTTGAATCTTAAAAAATATTTCAATATGAAATTCTCAAATGGTTTTAAGTTTTTGTTAAAAATATAAACCGACTGTTAAGGTGTTTCTTTTTCACTTACAGGTAGAGTCTCCAATCCTATGTGCACTGATTGACAAAGCTGATAACAATGGCATAGTGAAGTTATGATAGAAGATATATATTAGTTCACCTAACAGAAATCAATGACACCATGCTGTAGATTAGTGAATGAAATAAGTATCTGGTTAAGCAATGTGGACAGGTTAAATACCTGAACCAATGGATCTAAAAATAAGAGAAAAAAAAACACTTCTTGAGATACAGTGACCATTCAAGAGGGGTCACCCATCCTTGTTATATGCTGAAAAGATTTATGCAATGACAAAAAGCAATTCAGTTTTTTTTTTTTTTTTTGCATTGTGTGTGAATCTTATGGTTGATAACACAACTTTGCAAAATAATGTATCATGAGGTTTGCAGTTGCACAAATTTTTTTTACAAGATATTTTGACAAAATGGTTGCAAATTTCAACAAGAGCTGCTGAGAAAGGGGAAAGTTTGAGGATTGTTTTGGGCAACTATACATAATATATTTGTGCTTCAAGACAACTAACATTGGCGTTTTGTCAGAGTTACATAATTGAAAGGTAGTGTCCATCACACTATTCTTCAATATACTGTGAGCACTTTTAACTGTTCTAATTGACTTGAAGCCATTATTTAAAAAGTGTGTTTTGGATATATATGTATTTTTTCTTTAAATCGGATATGGTGTTCAAGGTGAAAGGCTAATATGGAAAGACCACATTAAAGTTCAGACCAAAGAAATGACTATGGGACTTACTGCAAATGGTGGTCTGAACATTGCATATCTCTACCATATATATGCTTTTTAAGATGATGTCCTTTTATTTTAAGTTGTATATTTTGTTTAAGATATAATTCAAACTGCATAAGAACATACAATATAATTCCTGATAAGAATTAAGAAGCATTGCTTCAGTGGCTGCTGTAAATGTTGCCTTTATTTTTAATGAATTGAGCTTTAATTTATTAGTCACCCTTGTCTTATAAAGTAACATTGTAAATAGATAAGGCAAATTTACTCTAGGACAAGTGAATAGTCTGAAAACAAAAATAAGCCTGTACAGTAGACTTTGAGTGTGTTATGTAAAATTAACCCCCAAATACATCACTTCTTGAATCTTTGAAATTGCAATAAAATGATAAATTACATCTTGCATTGCTTTCTTTTTAAAAATATCGTTTTTCACTTTATCTAAAGTAAGAATCTAAGAATATACTTGTAAGCAACATGTAAAGATGACATGATACAAACAACATTTGTTTTGGTAAATATTATTATCATTCTGTATTTTCTTACAAAATAAAAATAAAAACAGCAAATATCATAGCAAATTCTTAAAAATCACATCAAAGATTGTAGTGATTAGAGATGGTAAAAGTTATCCACAATCAAAATAATTAAAGGCATTTGGATACCATTTTGGACAAAGTGTACAAGATACAGTTGACATTCAGTGCTAGGGGGTATTGATAGTTTGACCAAACACTTATGTTGTAATAACCTGTCCCCATGCCTCTGTTTAAAAAAAATAGATTATTTAATTATGTTTTATACATTGTGATAATCAAAGATTAGGAAAAAAATTAACAAAGCAGTACAAAATCATTGATGACAACTTAACATAATGCTGATTGTATCCATGCAAATGGTAGACATATTTTACTTTACATTATACTTAAATGCTTTGTACAGTATGCAATAATCATTTTGAACATTTCATAACAAAAAGGAAGAGAAAAAGCCAAAAAGGAATATCATATTCCATCCATAACCTACAATGACTTATTATAATAGATTTTGAGCACCTCATCTAAAATAAACAAACTTACTTGATCTTCCAATTTATGAAAATCATATATATATATATATATATATATATATATATATATATATATATATATATATTTTTTTTTTTTTTTTAAATAACCCCGAGGCATGCCGAAACCTCAACTACGAGTTTCACGTACATACCCATAGTTTTTCTCTTGCATATTTACTGCCACTTATTTGAATATTTTCTTATTATGGCCCTGGATTATTTGCTGCATGTTCTTCATGCTACTGGAAGTAACCTTTAATGTTGATCTGAGTCTGCTTCCACAAGGGAAATGTTTTTCTAAAAACTAGAGAAAGATACGACTTGTGTTTTAACATTTTTTGAGAAAGGCGAATTAAACCAATTCAATCTTCTGTTATGTCTTCTCTTTTCACTGGAGCTAAAATTGCTTGGTTTAAACTCATTGTTCACCTTCCTTCTGTTGTACCTCCCTCCTTCTAATGAATTTTTGTACACACGCAGATCCTGCAATTGTCCAACTTGATCATAGAGCTGCAATCTTTCTCTGATGGCCCTAGGTATATTTGGTATTACTGCAGGGGGCTGATTCAAGTTCTTACTCATATAGCTCGGTTCTGCATTCAGAAATGGGTTGCATGTCTCAGATTCTAAGTCTAGGTTTGCATCTAGAAAATTAACTAACTTTTGTAATGTTAGTAGTTACAGTTATAAAAAGACCTTGCGTTTTGAACAGTTTGACTAGATGTGTCCTGATTTTGTCAGCTGCACTTCCACCACAAGATTTAAATACTCTGAAATTTCACATAAGAAGCACCATGATATATGTTCACTATATTCCTGGTAAATTGTTATCACCCTTTGTCAGTCATGTGTATTCTGCCTGCTATTATTATTTACATTTTCAGTAATTTTCATCCTGATGTAAAGACAATACTGACATGGTATGTGAATAATAAATTCCTGATAGTATGTTAGCACTATATATCAGAGACGTGCACTATCTGTTTTCCGATATTTCCTCCATTCATCATAGAGACAAATGCCCTTCCTGCATTCTCCAGTCCTTCTGTGACCGTTTCCTTCACCTGCAAAACATTAAGTATGCAATACATGAATACAGTATTTAATAAAGATTTCACTCAACAGCATTATAAATGCTCCCACTTAGTACAATATTTTCAAGTTGAGATCAACTAAACTAGTACACAAACAGGGGCGGATCCAGAGATATTTTCTGACAGTCTTCCAAATTATCTTTGTTGACCCATCCACCATTTTTGACCGTCTTCCGACAGAAAAAATTAGATACCCGTCAATGTAAACTTGAAAATCTGACCGTCTTCCGGAAGACCCAGAAGACCGCCTAAATCCGCCCCTGACAAATGCAGGCTCAACACATGTCATTTTATTTGACAAAAGGTTATTGGCCACGTTGCAACATGGTAAATATATGGCACATTCTGCCTGATAGAGAGTTTTCTGAAAGCTGTGCCATTGCTGGAGCAAGGCAGGTCAGAGTTGTCCCCTGAACTTAGTAAGGTATATCAAGTTTAATGTTTTTACCTAAATGGCAACTTTACCTTTAGTTTTCCTGACATGTACCATTCTACCAATTGCACAATGGCAGCTTCAAATTTTTCAGGATAATTGAGGACAAGAAATCTGTCTCTGGAAATGCAAAAGAAAAAAAAAATAGAAAAATTTACCTGAGAAACATACTATCTAGTATAAGTATAGAATAAAAAGTTTGTCCTTTATCTTAATTGAAACTTACTCAAGAAGTGCATTTCTTAATGTCTTGTTGTTGTACAGTAGTATTATAAAACAGTTATTTCATCAATTAATGTCAAAATCTTAGCTGACATATACTTTGTTACTGCTTCATATTCATATTACCTTGTTATGTTTTTTGCCTTTAGTAACTGTTCAATATCCTCAGGAAGTGGAGGGGGGTACGGTACATCTTTATTGTACACAGAAATCTGCCCACACAGTATAACATGAGAATTTGGATTCATCTGAAATGAAAACCATGTCAAATTCAAACACTCTAGTTTTGTGCAGAAAACTATTACTGATATTATAAAAAACACTGTAAATTAGGTTGTACTACATACGCTGTAATTCTGCCCACTGCTTTTTTCCAAATAAGTCAGAAGTTTATCTTTAGCACCAACTGACTCAAACTAAAAACAGAAGAATTTATAGACCTTGTGGTCATAACAATTCCTTGACATCACACAACATCACGAAGGAAATTACAGTTGGCATCATTTCTTACCTGTCTTATTACTGTATTTGAAATTTCTCCTCCTACATTGTCAAAATAAACATCTATCCCACCTGGGCAACATTCTTTTAACCTACTAGACACATTCTCTGTCTTGTAATTAATAGCATGATCAAATCCCAACTCTGCAGTCAAAAAATTGCATTTTTCATTGGTGCCACAGATTCCTACTATTTTGCTGCAGCCATCAAGTCTGGCTATCTGGAATTTCATTATTAAAATATAAATGAACCAGTACAAAGCAACAAGTCAGCATCAGACATCATATATTTTATGGTTCTGAACCTATCTTTACAATTTTAGACACAAACCCATGAACAGCTTAAGCTATATAACATCATACTGTGTATGTATGTGTGTGTGTGCATGTGTGCGTGCACGTATAAAAGAGGGGATTTAAAGCCTGTCCACCAAAGATGTTTGTAAACTAAATTGTACTGGTATACAGGTGAATGTAGCTTGTACTAGTAAGGTTTAGGAGGATTTATAAAATACACTGTCTTACGACTTTAACTTAACCCATCGTGTTCACTGTATACCATACATGTATTACCAGGTTGGATTATTAAAAGCTAATGTAATATGTGAGAGTAAATTGATTCACTGAAGCTTTAGCAGTGCACTGGTCAATGGGTACCTGTCCTGCCAGTGTTCCACAGGCACCAGCTGCTCCACTTATTACACAAGTCTGATTGGCTCCTGGTGTCACATGACCCTTTTCCCTGACTCCAAGCAGAGCTGTCAGACCCACCAAACCAAAACAACTGAGATACAGAGAAGGTCTGTCCCCAACTAAATTTCTGTCACCCTGAAAAGCAGAATAATATATACTCTATTTTAAAGTCAAAATATCAATAAATTTGACATCTTAATGTATCTGAATCTTAGAAAAACTAGTCAGGCTTAAACAATTAATTTACATTTTGAAAGACCAAAACTTCAATAATTAGAATTTCTAACTTGAATCTTGGAAATACGATATATAGCTATAGGCTTGCTCATCTATCACTCAGTTCATGGAAATCATAGGAAAGAATTATACCTTTCTAATCCATTTTCTTTGAGAGTTGTTATCATAGATGAAATACTGCTTCCAAGGCCAGCCTAAATCTCCTTCCACAAGGTCTCCCTCAGTAAAGGAATCATCTGCTGACTGAACCACAACACCCATTCCAAGCAGGCCTTCTATTGTTTTACCTATCTGCCATGGAGTCAGGTAATCTGCTCCAGTGTCTTCATTCATGCGGCATCTCTGAAAGAGAAAACAAGGTACACAAAGAGGTACAGCTACAGCAAGAAATAAGATGGAAGTAACTTGTCTTAGATACTCAAGGATTTTAAAATTTAATAATGAAGGAATTTAACCAATACTTCGGTATATATGGTATTTATACTACAGTTTATACTACAGTACACATGTCGTATGTGTATTTATAGCAGTCAAACTTCTCTTAACATATGAAGATGTCTTTATTTGGAATAACATATGTATTACCAATGCTGGATCAACTGATAAATATAACGTTTTTATCAGCACTTCCCCTTTCTGTAACTGCTCTGGGTATGGACATTCGGTGTACTCAAAGTTTTCATCAACAGGTGCACTGTTCACACCTACATTTGAAAAAAAAAAAAAAAGAATGAATCAGAATGCATGAAGAAATTAACAACACCAAAGAAAATTTAGTTGCTGCTTAGTTTATCAACTAGTGTGCAGTTTTCTCACATCTATTACAATGTTAACGAGAGAGAGAGAGAGAGAGAGAGAGGGGAGGAAGAGAGGTAGTGTTTGTGTCACTGTGCCTGCGTGTAAGTATATGCACTTCCACTCCCCCAATTAAAACACACACTGACAAGCATGGTACACCATTGACACATAAGTATTTTCCATGCTATTGGACTCACAATTATTCAGTGGCATTATAATTTTGTTGTGATAACGCGATAGTTACTCTCGACCAGCTGATCTGTATGTACATATCATATGTACGAGGACCAGGGTTGACTACATATGTATGTAAATGACTGTACGATTAAATTTGGAAACTGATCGCTGTTAATGTTACAAAATGAAAGCATTTTCTCCACATTACAATAAAACACAGATAACCAAACCTGGTCGACTCCTTAAAATAACGTGATGATTTTGCATGTTCTCCGTTTCGTGTGGGAAGAAATTTCCGCTAGAGGGCGATTCAATCACTACACAGTATCGCACCGCTAGGTGTGCTCACGTACTCTCACGTACAAGATTGATAACGTGCGCCAAACTTCGTTCTCTACTTCTATGGTTATCTGAACACTCAGAACACTGAACGATGTGCCTACAAAAATGCCCTGTTTATTTTCATCAAGAAATGTAAATACATTGAATTAAAAAAAATTTACAGTGGTTATTTAAGGCTTCGTTCACATGCAATATGTCTATTTTCTAAATTCTATTTTCTATTTGCGGTATGTCTTATGATCTCGGTCTGTGCCCTGAATATCCCGCGGCGTAATTACTGGCAGCGCGAGTCAGTTACTATAAGTTACTATAAGTAACTGGCTCGCGCTGCCAGTAATTACGCGGCGGGATATTCAGGGCACAGACCGTGATCATAAGATAGCGCGAATAGAAAATAGAATTTAGAAAATAGACATTGCATGTGAACCAAGCCTAACTTCAAGCAAATAAGTTGTATCCACCTAGAATATTCTCTTTACTCTCTGCGTTTGTTGCAGGCCCAAGTACGTACACTGGCGGAGCTATAGGCCCCTACATAAAGGATTTCGCAAAGCCTTTGCAATGAAAGGGTAGGGCTGGCACAAGGAAAAACTTTCAACTTCGCTTTGCTCGATAAATTTGAAGCTGTACACAATGACAATATTATTGTAAATGTTGGACGCGGTAATGTAAAAATGTTTTGTTTTTGCGTTTCATTTTTTCTTATTTTTGAGGAATGGAGGAAATTTCGTAATAAAGTTAACGTTCTTATTGAATTCATTGAGTTTTTTTATTTTAATGAACGCATTGGAGAACAAACATCATTTGCGGACTGAACCGGTCACCGACTATGGACTGTAGGGAGTCGGTTTTATTTTTTGAAAATAACGATTTGAACAGTATTAGAATTGACAATTTATTATAATACATTTGACCAATACATGTACATATTTGAAAAATTGATTAATTAATAAAGCGTCCTTTACGGTAACTAAATATTAACTTTGGTCTGAAATCGTTCTGTAATGTTGTAAGCTTAAGTTATAAAGTCGTCTACATATATGTAAAGAAGTGGATATATAGTTTGTTTCATGGAGTCGGCTGTAGAGTGGGCTACTTCAAAATCAATCGTGAAACTTGTGGGACGCACTGAAGCAGCCGCAGTTTACAGCAGCTAGTCCTCTAGCCATTGTCAACAATATTGCGGACACTGCTGTTTGCAGTCAGAGGTCCCATCTCAAGCTGTTCTTCCGCCAACACTTCCTGTGATGACAAAAACGTTGCATATAATAAGTCATTAAACTACATCTCAATATCATAAGCATGGAATGTTTAAGAATGTTTAAAGAAAATAAATTACACCTTTTCCATTGCATACACGTTATTTCGACTTATATGCATGTACAATTTGCTTGAAGTCCGTGAAGGTTCACTCTAATGGCGCTATTCCACACCGACTACCAATTCCACGAACAATTTAGAAATAAGTGGGGAATCGTGGGATTTTGCACATTTCTGGTAGAAGTCTTAGCCCTGTAGGATTCAGTTACAAACTGGTTAAGAAAGACTTAAGAATATTCGGGGGATTCTGCTTGAACAGTACGAATGTTGTCAAGAGATAGTTATGATTTTTTAAAACGTTAGGAATATTTTACGAATATTAGTATTTAGTTAACAGAAAGCTAATTAAGGGTATTGTTACCCTTTATTATCATCCAAATTCCGAAAATGAGTTTTTTTCTGCATCTAATTATTCAGTAATGCATCTGTCTTTGTGCTGATTAAAAAAAAAATAAAAATATAAAAAAACTCTCAAAAATATGAAATAACAGCGTTTATATTTTTTCGTTGCAATGTATAAGCATAGGCAACTCAAAGCTTTGATAGTCTATTTAACACCTTTCTATTTTGAGGTGAGATACAGTAGAAATCGGTATGGGACGTAACTTCACCCTTGAACAAAATTAAGTAAAAACCTGGGCCCAGTTTTATAAAGAACGTTTAGCACTAACCAGTGTTTAACTCTAACCGGTGGATAAATTCTCCTAAACCCTGATAAATGAAATTGTTTTATAAACAGTGTTTAAACAGTCCGTTAGTTAATTCACCTTTAAATAAGTATTTTATCCAGTTAAACACTGGCCAGCTAACTGATTGGCTGTTTGAACACTGTATATGAAAAACAATTTAACCATCTTTTAGTTAATGGGTATTAGGAGAATTTATCCACTGGTTAGGCTTATACACTGGTTAGTGCTAAACGTCCTTTATAAAACTGGGCCTCTTGACAACATTCGTACTGTTCAAGCAGAATCCCCCGAATATTCTTAAGTCTTTCTTAACCAGTTTGTAACTGAATCCTACAGGGCTAAGACTTCTACCAGAAATGTGCAAAATCCCACGATTCCCCACTTATTTTTATATAGCGAACCTTGGCGAAGAGCGAAGCGGTATCCCAAATCAGACCCGACCAAATCAGACCCGAATTTATCTATTCCTGTTCATGGCATTCGTAGTCGGTGTGGAACAGGGCTGTAGGGAAGCAGCGAGTATTTACTTTATAAGAAGCAGTCAGTGTCATAAAACCAGGCGTTACCTGAGCAATGTCTAAAATGGGAGAGGTGACCATATCGGTTGGAAAATTATTCACGTAGTAGTCCAGGGGCGGATTTAGGCCGTCTTCTGGGTCTTCTGGAAGACGGTCAGATTTTTAACTTAACATTGACGGGTATCTAATTTTTTCTGTCGGAAGACGGTCAAAAATGGAGGATTGATCAACAAAGATAATTTGGAAGACTGTCAGAAAATATCTCTGGATCCGCCCCTGTAGTCACAGAGCCAACTGAAATTAAATTAATAAATGAATATAAAATTATAACAGACAAATGAATGTAGTGAATTATGGCTTTAAAAAGTTCAATAAAATTGCTAGCGATAAGGAGCCTTGAAGGAAGAAAAATAACATTGATAAATTTCCTACCGATGACTTAAAAGGCCAGTCATGTTGTCAATTCTTTGGTTCACGTTGCTGAAATGAAATGAATCAGTGCTGAAAGTTCAATATGAGACCAGTTGGGGATAATGGCAACTGAAGACAAACTATTTCTTCGGAGTAAGCAAGACTTATTTTAAAAAGTGCATTATGAATTTTTGTGTCTTTAGACAGGCCAATGCTACCCTAGGTTCTAGATTTCACTGTTGCCATCTCCATTTCATATATAACCCATATCAGCAATACGGATACTGTAAAGCTACCCCATAAGGTATGAATAGTAAGCAAGCTAGCTTTATAGTGCCCTGACACTCAGGACAGCCAATGCTTAAAAGGCTATAGTTGATAGAGTTGTTCACGGCATTTCATTAAGGCATTTGCTTACCAGACTAATCTGTTAATCAGATCCCTGAAGACATGCTCTGTATCTGTGTAGATGATGGTGCCTTGGAGGATTTTCATTATGGCTTCTGCTCTAGTTGGCAACTCGGTCCAAAGTGGGTGTCTAAATAAATCGACTAAAGTTATATGTCTTCCAACACTTCCTACTTTTCTAAAACTATAAAGTTTTTTTTTTATTAGTGCTTAATTTTCAGGTTTCCTGTTCATACGACTTGGCGTAATATTTTCTATCAGAACTATTGGCATGAATAACAGTTCAGTCATTATTCAAATAACTGCATCCTTTTTATTACCTTCCCTCCATCAATTCAAATAACAGGACACCCAAGGCGTAATAGTCTGCCCTCCAAGAGGCGGCGCCATCCCTCAGCACCTCTGGAGTCATGTTTTTATATAGGGTGAAATTCATGAACTCCACTCCATGGACACTCTCCCCGGCCTCATTTAAAGGGTGAACGGACCCCAAATCACACTGTAAGAAAGAAATCCGCATTTATAATTGAATGAAAAATGGAATTTTCTGGTTACCAAAAATGAAAACGCTGATTTCATCCAAAGTTTTTTTTATCAGTCTAATACAAAATCATATTTTTTACCAGTCATAACATGTTTTCATTCAGATTGGTGACACATTACAGTTATTTTAGGTACGTAAAAGCGAACCTTGGCGAAGAGCGAAGCGGTATCCCAAATCAGACCCGACCAAGGAAAGTCGCAAGGCAAGAAGAGAGAAATAACCTGAATTTATTTACTCAGAGAGACAAAACTAAGCCACAACAAAGCGAACATCTTACTAGTTTAGGGATCCCGTGCACACTTATCAACACGTTATTCGTTTTTATATCAAAGTGAGCAACGCTCCGTTGGTGCAAGTGCCCAATAGCCATACAGACACAAGTGGCTACATACTTCACCATCTGAAGAGGAACTTCGTCCCTAAGAAATAAATAAAATCAACTGTCAGTATGATATTTTTGTTAGCATTAATGGAAATATATTTTGTTGAATAACGCTTTTTTAAGAAATAGCTATTTTAAGGATCGAACAAGATAAAATCAGAAAAAAAATGAAAGGATTGTTTAAAGAAATGGAAGTAATGTTATTACTTACAAGAATGTTTCCCAATACTCCCGGAGAATGTCCAGGTCCATTGGACATAACTCCGACAACAGGACGGGAAAACCCCGTCGTAAGTCGAATGAGTGAACAAGTCTGGAACGGAAATTTCTCATATCAGACTGAGATTAACTAAATCGGGTGGACGAAAGTTTCTGAACCTGTACAGAGTAATTTCTCATTGTATGATAACTAATTGAGATTTTACAGTTACTGGTTTATGACGGTTTTATCCGTCCAGTATGTATTTATTCTCATTCAATTTATTATAATGGTATTGTGAAATATGTTGATAATCTAAGTGCCAAGTTTTTAACGAGATAAAGAGATTATTATTTGGCGTATTTCATAAAAGACACCCGTGTTTCATAGGTATGTAAGCTTACAAATTAATCAACATATTAAATTGTTTGTATTTAACTGATAAACAACCTTAAGATAAATTTGCTGTCTATCCTCTTCATATAAGAAACTTCTC